ACTGGCCGTGTCTTATTTTAAAAAATTAAGGATGTTTGAAAAAGTCCTAAATTCTTATTTACATGATTCTTATAACCTCCTGAAATATGAAGTGCGAAGGACATCAGCTTCATCTTGAAAATTTAGTCTATAAAACTAAAGAACCTACTTATTTATTTTTAAAATGATAAAATGATCTAACATCCACTTGATACACGGCCCCGAGACTTGTAGCAGATTTCTAAATCCTTTATTATTATTATTTTTAATTGTTCAATAATTCTAATAGCGTGTGATGTCCAAAGTGGTTTGTTGAGTAGTTATGCTGGATCTGGCCGCCAAGTGTCTTTATTTGATGTATGAATCTAATTATTTCAAAATTTCAGAATAGAATTTTAAGTTTTGCTTTTCCCTTGATAAAAACAATTTTTATTTTAGTGAATTGATTTCAATTTTATTTGGCATCGTTACTTTTTATTACCTTGAAAGGTTTAGGAAGAGCTCCAAATCTAACAAAAATAACTGTCCAGATACGTCTAACACATTTTCTAGAAATTTATATACCGAAGGATATTTCTGGAGCTGAAGGTAGTACAGGCGGCTGGACAGCTATCACAAGAACGTGGCAAAACCTTTCTTAATATTAATGTCAGTCCCTGTTTATCGTTTCATTTTTAGGTTCTTCTCAAAAAATATTTTTTTTAGAGAAAAATCTTTTTCCAGCCTTTTTGAATTAAGTGGCAACTGGTACTCATAATAACTTTAAATTCAGGAATTATTTTTGTTATATTCTTGGAATCTAACCGATTAAGCGAAAATGTATTATTAAAGTTACTCTGAAATGGCGTTTAGAGAATGAGGACATATTAAAAATTGTTAGGTTAGGCATTCTGAAGTATTCCAGTGACAATTAGTGAAAATCTCTTGTGTGTTGTGTTAGAAGTGTTTGTTATTATCGTTTGGCTCCGGGAATGAGGCAGGTGGGGCTTATGATAAATGTGTAGAGCACTAACAGGGGCCTACACAGGACATTGCAGGCTTAGGGTTCGCTTGGGCATGGGCAAGATTTGGAGTCTTCGCAACTTCCCTGATCGATCAGGACCTAGTGCACGATACTAGACTAAAGGAGTTGCTGACCTCCTATAGGATGGGCGGCATTCTGGACGCCCTTTAGCGCGGTCTGGGCGCACAACGAGCCCATCTGGTGGAATAAGTGCTTAATAATACCAATTATTCTTTGGCAAAAACTCATACAAATTTTTTTATTTTTTATTATTTATTATTTCAAAGAAATCTGAGTTTGTTAAAAGCGGATAAGTTTCTTAGGAGATTCAGTGATTTAAAGAGACATTCAGGATGTCAGAAGAGATCAGTCGATTAGCAAAACAATAGAAAGTTAGCACTGTATTCAAATCCGAGACGATATTAAGGAGCATACTTACACGAACAAAGCCAGAAACACCAAGAGAATAAGTGTATCTACCTGTAACGGTGAAGAGTCATCAAAATGACCTTTAAACGTCAGAGTTGAAGAACATGGGAAACACAATGAGAGGTGAAGTCGAAAATTTAAGAATCGCGGAACATGTAAGGACTAAACAACACATCAAATGGTCCTCAGCTCGGGTTGTCCGCAAGGAACCGCATTCGAAAATGTTTAAGGAAGCTGTTCTTTAACACATTTTTTTAATCAATTTAGATACAAAAAAAATCATGCAATTTTTGCAAATAATAATTATTTATGCTTTAAAATTAATAAATAATCTATAAATATTAAACGAATAGATTCTCAGAGCATGTAGATGTTTATCCCGAAACGAAATCGTTTGAGAGGGATGTACTGGATTCAACCCAATCGTCCTTTGTACAAAACTTTCATCTACATTTATCTCTCGTTCAGGTATATAAGATGTACTTCATTTTCTATTTAGAAGTTCATAAATAGGCCAAATTTTGTTTCATTTAGGATTCGGATGAGTATGACAGTCATATGATTCATTATTAGAAAATTGTTATTTTTTTATGTATGAATGTCGACGTAAAGACATTAGTTTTGGAATTATTGCAGTATCAAAAATGTCTTTAGTTGTTCCGTACATTCTTTCTTGAATTATGTTTATACATAAAAATATTTGCATTTCCTCTGTTTTTATAGGCAATAAAACATCAGACGATCTTCATGGTTGTTGTTCTGCATAGCGATTAGATTCAGTCGCCAATAAGTTTATCAATTCATTATCAAAAACTAATTGGAAATAATCCAAGACTGCAAAATTATCTGCATTGAATGTACAAGCTGGGACACTAATAAACTGGAAACGTGATGGTGCTGAATCCAAGATATCTGTATTTATTTGTTGCCAGATATCGTTTGATTGGTCATCATCCTCGCCTTCCTCCGAATGTGATTCTACATCGCTATCGTCAATCCCGCTTTCTGATAAATTCGAATACTCAAATTCAGAATTTTCTTGGTCAGACATTTGGCTGAACAAACTTTTCTAAATATTCGACAATAAAAAAAATCTTAGCAGAGGTAAAATATATTGTTATACTAGCCTAAAAGTTATTCTTGCAAAATGTCTTGGATTTTCAAATATCATTTTAAAATTTTTAGAATGATAATGTGAGTCATAAATATCTGGCTCTAGTCTTAGCATAGGCAAACGCAAATTAATCTATCACCCAACGTGACAGATACGGAATTAAAATATTTGGAAAATTATATTTCTATATTAACCGTGACCCATACGGAGCTGCAATGTTTTGAGACATATAAAATTACAGTGACCGTGACGGTCACGGAGCTGCACAATTCTGTCGGTAAAGGTTGCCCGTATATGTCACGGAGGTGCTCATAAAGCGGATAAAAAGAATTTAAGCATCATTTCCAATCGAATCGTGGAAATACCTACAATCTGGCAACCTTTAACAGAGCGCACCAATCTTGGCGTCCTCAACCTCACTTCACTGCACCCTACTCCATTACGATTGAACTAGTCTACTATATAAGCTTCGTAGCATTAGACATCTGCCCGAAACAATGGAAGTTCAGCGATTTCTTAGTATTTCAAAAATTAGATTAGAAATAGATGCGCTGTCCTACAAGACCGACTGGTCATGTTGTTTGATAATAGTAGGCGGGTTATTTCGATAATTGCTATCAAAATCCAAGAGGATATAGTTTGAGGCAAAATATTGAACACTTAAAATTGCCTATATTAATTTATTACAATTTTCAATAATAGAAATAAAATTTCTAGATCAGTGTATAGCAAACTCAATAATACAAGAAGTTTAAAATTTCTGTGACGTCCACAAAGTAATCTGATCTATATTGTGCACGAGTAAATTCATAAATAAATAAACCATAAAATAACACCTTTTCGAAAGCGGTACTGAAAATATCGTTTACGTGCCGTATCCTGTAACCTAAAATTTAATGTAGGAAAATTATATCCACCCAAAACCAATAAAAGTTGGGGGAAATGAGAAAATTTAATCGCGTTTACATTAAAGAAAAGTTCGGCGCGTTTCATTGACGGCAAGCAGGGAAAACTTTTTTAATTTGACAAACAAGTACTTTCAAAAGAAAACTGAAAAAACTTTAAGTAAGCTGACTTGTTTTGCTCATCGAATTTCTCAAATCTTAAGGCTAGTCCTAACCGGCATAAATAGATTTTAATTAATTTTCATTCGATTGCCCAAAATTTCCAAAATATTAAATTAATTTCCCTTAATAACCCATTAATTATCCTTTAAATATCTCAAGCGCTTTCTCAAAATAACCATAATTTTCTGACTAAAATTTCGAAAACACGTTGTATAACCCAGTGAAGACAATTTTAAATATTATTTAGGGTATTATTTTTGTATCATTGCTCTTGTAATGTCAACTTATAACAAAAACATCTTTGAAAGTAGGCAGTCACTCAAGATATATCATCCAATTTGAATTACGAGATAATATAGAAAAATAAATCGAATTTAGATTCTCACACAAATGTCTATTGCAGATTATTAAGCGATAATATTTTTCTTGGACCAGATCATTGCGAGCATTGTGTTAAATGTTAAGCGTAGGTACAAACAAACCTTCACCACCTTTCCTAATAAAGGAATACAAGAGAATTACAGACAATACTAGGTATGTAACCACTTACTTACAGGGTGAAGTCATTATCTCATTGATTTCAAAGCCCAAATCCAATGGTAAATGGTAAATACAAAAGTTGTAAAGATTGTTAGGATGGACAATTTAAAATTATTTTAAAGCGTGACGAATAAAAAATACATTTTTAAAAATGTAAGTTTTATTCGCCACGCTTTTTTGAGCCAAGGTTAAAGTATGCATCCTACAATCGTTACAACTTTTGTATGTACCATTTTCTCATAAATTTTGAAACCAACGAGATAATGAACTTTAATCTATCGTTGACTCTCCTTATTCTTCTTTCCTATCTTTGTTTATATTTTATCTTGTTTAAACTTAAATAAAACGAAATAGAATGAACGGTGTCGAAACTTCTAAAAATTTAACCAAAGCAATAAATATAAAAAAAAACAGAAAACAAACATTAATAATAATAATCATAATAATTTTCCAAAGAAACTTCCACAGGCTACTGTAATACTTTTGACAAAACTTCCGGATTCCTCCTGCGTCGATTTTCGCTTAGTCGAAATTGCTGACGTTTCGCCAATCATCCTGGTTTTCAGAGCTGTGTTTCAGTTTCAGTCAAGTTCTGAAGAAGTCAACAGGATGATTGCCGAAACATCAGCAATTTCGACTCAGCGAAAACCGACGCAGGAAGAATCCAGAAGTTTTGTTAAAAGTAATAATCATGATAATAACATATAATAGTATGAGTAATAATTTCCCTGCAATATCATTCTAATATCCCTTAAATTTCCACTAATTGCCTTTTAGTATCCATTGATATTTCCACAATGCGCACAAAACACATAATTCTTTCCCAGTTACTCGAGAATAACTTAAATCTGATTCCTTTATGTTACAGGATGGAATATTACTAGAAGGAGGAATAGTTACAGTTAGTTCTGACGGGAATACTACGACGAGCGTTTTGTCATTTAATCCTAGCGCAGCGGATCATGGACTTGTTCTTGCCTGCAAAGCGTCCAATCAAAGGATACCACTTAGGTAAGAATGACCATAAGGTGAAACATGTGAAATGTAATATTGAAATTACTACTATAAAAAATAAGATTATTACCCAAAAAAAACTTGAATTTATTTAAAAAATCTCAAAAGTAGCAATTTTATTTAGCATTGAAGACATATAGCTATCTGGACCCAACGCAGAAGGTCTTTTCGGTCCTTTTCTCTGGGACATACCTCTGTTGCTACTTTAAGAATCTTTGCTGAAACAGTGAGGCGCTGACATAAATAATAGTTACATCTCAATGAGCACGATTAACTAATTAGAGAATGTCTAGACGCGTAGCCCCCAAACAAGGAAGTAGAGTGCATTACAATTAACGCTGTGACAGCGAGACCCCATCCGTAGCAGTTACTAGAAAACCAGTAAGAAACTGAAGATTTCAATAACGTTAAATTTATTTCAAAGATCAACCGAATTAGGGAGTTACTGTCAGACAAAAGACACAAAATGCAGGGTGTTTCATAATAAGATGCTAGTTCTTACAAGTATAATTCCTTGTATAATTATAAGAAAAAGAGTTTATACTTATGTAGGTTCCCAATTACTTTGTTTTTAAATACTCTGTTAAAATCTGATAGAAGCCCCACGTATATACAAAAAAGACTTTTTTTTCAGACAAAAATTAGTTTTCTGTTTTTACCAGTGGCGTCGAGGTAAGCATGATATTAAATGCTGTTATCGCACGCCATTACTTTTTTCAAAACTAAACTACATTTTTAAAATAACGATTCACTTCTTGGCCAAAATTATCTCTTGACTTTGTGACATCCAGCGAAAAAAATAAAAAACAATAAAAAACTGATTTAATTATCGGAATTATATTGAAAAATCGTAATTTCCCTACTGAATATGAACGACTCTCGTTTAGCAACCCGAACATTGCTTCTATGCTACCAAACAATCAACAGAATATCTAAAGCAGTTTCAATAGAAATGAGAATACACCGTTTCTTTTTCTTTAATTTTTTTAATTTTCGACACGTACATTGACATAAACTTTTTTTCTCAAAATCATGCAGGTTCAGCCCTGATTATGAAACATTCTCTATGGGCAACCAATGAATTTATCAACGCGTTCTAACATTAAAAAATACTTTGGTGCTCGACTTTTCACGTCATAACATATTCCAATCCGACACGCCAGAGGAATCTGTTCCCAGCTTTGGTCTCACCGACATGCCAGTTTTTAAATTATTTTCTTGAATAATTTTTGAAGATTGCCTTAGTTATTATTAGCGTTAGAAGGTTGCGGTCGCAAATACATTGTATTATGGACTCAAATGGATTTTCTTAGACCTCTTGAACAATCTTCATATTTAGTGTGCTGTTATGCAAAGGTTCTTTTTATGTGGAACAAATTTTCTCGAAGACCCACTAGTTTTCAGTTATAAAATAAATAATATACGTTTTGTTTTGCTATTCATAATGCACATTTATCCCAAATCGAAAAATTCCTCTATTAAAAATTGTTTTTCAGATGTTCACAACATTCTTACTGTGCCTTTATTTTAGACCGTGTGAAGTTTCTTGTGATTAGTTTTTTTATTTGCAGGCATAACATTAATGTGATAAGAGGACCAAATTAATATTTCATAGGGAAAAATAAAGTATGTTTTATTAATAACTATTTAAAAGTATGGTACACAGTTCCTGCCGCCAAGATATTTGAAAATAGATTTATATATATATATATATATATATATATATATATATATATATATATATATATATATATATATATATATATATATATATATATATATATATATATATATATATATATATATATATATATATATTTTTTTTTTTTTTTTCACGTATTGATTCACGGATGGAAAACGTGATGACACTATATTCCGGGATTTCACGAACACCCAGTGTTCGAAGTGTTCGGAACGCGGGCATTGAAGATGCCAAGTGAGATTTTGGCGAAACGTCTGCAGGATTCCAGTGGGATGCAGAATTCCAGTCGGATGCAGGATTCCAGTCGGAGTTCAAATATATGTATATATATATATATATATATATATATATATATATATATATATATATATATATATATATATATATATATATATATATATATATATATATATATATATATATATATATATATATATATATATATATATATATATATATATATATATGATGACACTATATTCCGGGATATCATCCGTTCGCTTGTTGAACTCCGACTGGAATCCTGCAGACGTTTCGCCAAAATCTCACTTGCCATGGCTAAACGATGTTCCTCGAGCCTGGCTGAAATCCTTCTGTTGGTCTGTCCCACATACGTCAGGCTGCACGATCCGCATGCTACACTGTATACTCCTTGGTTTTCCAGAGTAATTTTTTGTTTTGGGTTTCTTAGTATTGCTCCGATGGTATGATCAGGTTTGTATGCCGTTGATATCTCGTGTTTCCGTAATATTATATATATATATATATATATATATATATATATATATATATATATATATATATATATATATATATATATATATATATATATATATATATATATATATATATATATATATATATATATATATATATATATATATCCTTTTATCGTTAGGAACGGCAAGGTCACACCGTCAAAAATATCGAAAGAAAATCTATTTTCCGTTTTTGCCACTTACATGTTTTCATCAAAAAATCAAAAAAATATTCTAATATATAAATAAATAATAAACGCAAACAACTTTTAACCTGTATAATATAAAACTATAAAACAATATCAAAAGTGAAATAATAGATCTCCCAAATATCCTAAAAAAACAACTTCTTGAAAACTTCTGTTTTAGCCATATTTTCCACGTTGATCGTATTAGTCATTCCTGTACAGCGTGTATAGCCTTTATAAGTAACTTTAATTTTACTTTTGAAATAATATAAAACGTGACAAAACTAAAAACTAGTGGATCCTGAAGAAAATCTGACCACATTGAAGAATCGTTTTGCTCATGACCAAAACGCAAAGAAGGCTTTAGTGCATAGATACAGCAAAATCTAAATGACGTTTGAACACCTTTCAGCTCTAACTCTTTCAGCTGACGAATTAATCGATACATAAAAATATTTAATATTTTCCACAGCGAACGGCAGCAAACATGGATGCTCAAAGTGCTTTATCCGCCGAAGGTCGCATTGAGTCTAGGCCACAGGCTCGACGGAAACGATATTAAAGAGGGGGCCGATGTTTACTTCGAGTGTCATTTAATAGCAAATCCCTGGGTAAGTACAAATAACATACGTTGACCGTTGTCCGGTTACGGCCGTCAATAGGATCGAGAATATGTATGTGTGCGTTCGTTGACTAGGTGATTATAGATGTAACTGAATAATTTCCAAAATACTGACTGGAAAAGTACCCAACGTTGTTCAAATTATCTTGATAATATTTTCATCGGCTATAACTTTTTTGTTTTTCAAAATACCAAGGTAAGTAAAAAAAAACAAAATGTAGGGTTAGTACATAGGGTCAGTACATTACAATTGCAATAAAAATTGTAGAACTGGCTAATGTGTAAATTATCAAAAAATTATGTCTGAATAAACGTATCTCGAATTAGATCTCGAAGTAGATACGGTTTCGTCTGTTACTACATCCATCAGGAGAAAGGTATTTCTAGCAGTTCAATCCTCTCAGTTTTAAAACAGTTTGACATTGCAATGCCAAAGGAGTTTTCATTGGAATATATTTTATGAAGCGATGAAAGTTCGTTCAATACAAAAAAAAGCTCTAATATACAAAATACGCGATACTAGCTGTAAATAATCGTAGTTAAATACATGAAATAAATAAAAACACCGGATAATGTTAGCTTAACTGTAGATCATCACTTGCATCTCTTAAAATACAATATATAAAAGAACTACCCCTAAATATATCAATACAAATAATATGACAGCAAGATTGTGCGCCTCCTCATATTCGGATCTAAAATTTTCTTTCTAAACATAGAATATCTATAACTATTGTTTGAATGACCAAGAGACAATTCGGGACTATTATTAAATGTCAAGTCTTGCAATTGAAGTATATAAAAAATGTGTTGAACAAAATTACAGCAATATTTAGAATATTGATACAAATGTTAAAATAACTCTTGTTATCTTTTGCTTGTAAGTGATAATAAAATAAAAATGAGCTATTTTTGTCAATTTTTTACCAAAATCTCGAAAATAAGTAGAAAACATAAGAAATGTAATGTGCTATATGGTTGTATTCAGAAGAACTTCTTTTATTGAATACCGATAAAATCTGCGCGGTGATCAATTTAAAAAAATATGAAATAGGCTTTAATATCTTATACGTAAATGCATATATTTGGAGACAATACATTTTGTAGTTTTAAGGAATATCTGTAAAGCTTATGACAGTTTTATTTATATATTTATTTATTTATTAAAGAAGTTAATCAGTTTACAAGAAAATATATGCAACAAGTACAAAGTAAAAAGTCAAAAATATGAAACTGCTAACCAAAATATAATAATATATAATAATGTCTAATTCCAATGAACAGTATTGGTATATCGGCAACGGTTAAAGTTGTCAGTTGTAATAATTGTTAAAAATTCCTTTTGCTTTTTGTAACATTGTGTGTTAGTGTAGTATTATTTTCTAAAGCTTTGAGCGATATATATGGCGAACTAACCAAAACTATATTCAGATAGCATGTTTATTCACTAATGGGTGATTCTGTTTTAACTGTGATTTTTTTGTCTTGTAATATTTGTTCTTACTGGTGATTAATTAATAATCTTACAATGAAATTAGCTGACCATGAATATATTTCTATATAATATAATTTGGCACTCAGAGAGAACCAACAATATATCTTAAATTCTTAATTTCTTTTGCCGCAATAAATGATATAAATTAATTACTTCATAAATTTTTATTTCTATGATCAAACTAAAAAAAAACGGTACTATTTTGGTCAACATTTTAAGTCAACACTGAATTCCGGGTTCAATAACTTTTGTTTTTGAAATTTAACGAATTTTTGAATTTGAATTTATATGACGCTAGCGCCATCTACCTTGAGGTTTATGAAATGTCAAGTGAATCGTGTTTAAAATACGTCATCTGAGTACTGTTTACAAACATATAGTTTGTAAAGAGTTTATATGATCCACTATAGTGGATAAATGAATCAGTACTGTAGAACGGAAAATTTAACATTTGATTTCTCGTTCTTGACACTTTGAAGTTCTACTAAATCCTTTTAGGTTTTTATTTTTACAGTAATATAGGTGAATAATATGCGTAAAAAATGTAAAAAGCCTAGTTTTAATATATTAAAAGTTTTAATTAAAAAAGTAACCAACATATTGTTAATATATAAAGATTTCCACTGACCACACTCGCAATGCCCAGAAAACTTACCTTCCCAGAACCAACCCGTGATCTAGTAATCCGGTTTTGCTACAATAATAAAACCGAAATAACAGCGAAAGGTATAAATTATTCGAAAACGTGGAATCAATTTGGTTAGTTTACGTACGTAAATCGATTCGAAATTTTCGTCCGGCATTAATTTAATAGGCTTTGAATTGTCGGAATCCGAAACGTATTTGTTTTGAAATCAAACTAATCCAATAAATCAAAACCGGAGGTTTCCACCTGGTTTCGGTAAATTCGATTTGGGTCGTGCGATGAGCTCGGAGGAGTATTAAAGTTGTCAGGAAGCGTTTTACTTATTTGGAGCACAAGATCGGGCCGTCGGAGCCGAACGGGCCGTATTCTGCGACATTTTGGGGTTGCCACCGCCGCACTGTAATTGCTCTTTCCCGGCAATAGGGACGCTTTGGTTTGAACATGGGATTTGCCTCGGGGAGCGGACGTAGGTATGACGGGTGTGGGAATTTTAACTTGTTTAGGTACTTGCTAGCCTATTTTATTTACTTCTTTACTTATCAACTTATCAAACTATAGCCTAATGCAGAATTCATTCATATTTTGAAATTAAACGCGACTATTCTTTTGCAACCTCAAAATTTTCACAAAATTAAGAAAAGAACATTTTCCAAACCACTCCGTCCTTATTAAGAGGATACTGACCGTCAATCAAGTTTACCGAAGTTGAACTTTCTACAATAAAGTTGCTATTTTCTGATAAATTTCGTGTTTTAGTTTTTTAAGACCTAGGCACCTCGAACCGTTCCCAAATTAGGCACACACTAGTTTGCAAACAATAGAAAGACGAGTTTGGTGAATGAAAATAATGTGACAGCGTCGTTTCTACAGGCAGTTTATTAGAATAATAAATATACATTATACAAACTCTCAACATCATTTCAGATTTATTAAAATCCGAGAATCTGGCACCAAACCTCATCTTAATTGAAACTAACGTCGGGAACAACCACGGGTTCTCCATTATCACCAGTCATCGCGAATATATTTATGGGAGCCCTTGAGAAAAAAGCTCTCAACACCTTTCATCATAACCAAAATTTTTGAAACGCTACGTCGATTATACGTTTGTTATTTGGCCTGAAGATCAAGAATCCCTACTAGATTTTCTCGGACATTTAAACTCTAACATACGTTTTAAAACTGAATTAGAAGCTAATTATAATCTCCCATTCTGAGATATTCTTATCAATGGAAAATCAGACCTAACATGGGTCATTCTGTTTAAAGAAAATCTACGAACGCAGACCGATACCTCAATGCATTGTCATATCACCATCCAAAACTAACCAAAAATCATCGGTGATCAACTCTCTTTTTTACAGAGCCACAAAACTATCTCAGCCCGAGCCACTGAACCCAGAAATAAAGCACATTGCCTCTGTTCTTTTCTCTCATAATTTTCGCTTTAAATATATTAAGCGTTCCATCACAAAATTAACTTCCACAAACTTCCAAAGAGAATGAGTCCGAAGGCAACCCCACACTTGCCACTGTTACCCTTTCTTACATTCAAAACATCACTGACCACATATCAAAAGTTCTTAGGAAACAGAAAGTCAAAACCAGATTTGTCAAAAAATCTCTCTACATCTTCGATCCGTCAAAGACAAAATTCCGTTTGAGATACCAGAAGTTAACGGCATATGCATATGCGGCAAAGAATACATTGGAGAAACCGGACGGAAAATATCAAGTAAGCTCAAAGAACATGAAAGAGCCTTAAGACTAAACAGGACATAAAATTTTATTCGATAAAACTAAAATTCTTGCATGTAATCAATCAATCATGTCTAATAAACGAGTGACTTAAAAAGTTTGCCGAACGTGTTACATACTATACTTTTTCTACGACCTTTAATTACTAATTTTCTCATTTTTAGAGGGGACTGTTTCAATAATCCTTTTCTCAGCAACAAATTCAGGAACACTAGTGATTTTTGAGAAAGAACTAAGGCACAGCTGTCACACCAGTCAGTACCTGTCACTCTCGGGACCCTTGTCACTTCATCACAGATATAATACTACTCCTATGGAATGCGACCACTAACTTTTACAGTTCATTAAAAAACAGAGCATAATAACTGCCATATAATAAAGTTGAAAGTAAAATTCTTAAACTAAATATTTTACAGATTATTAGCATGTCTTCTTAGGAAGATTCGAGATTAGCTTTTTGTTTGCATTTTGAAATTTATCATCTAACCAACTGCGCACCACTAGGAAGCAGCCGAATAAAAGTGTCATAGGAGCTCAAGGATATGAACGCACCGCCACATAGAAAAAGAAAAATTGGAATAGAGAGGCTCATTGAAACTATATTATCTCCATCGATTTCCCTATAGACAAACCAAATGATATATTCAAAAAAGAAGTACTCAATTACTATTATCACTACATTACATTACATTACAAACTATAATTCTGGGAGGTTCCCGAAAGTCATAAATTTTAATACTGCAGCAATATTTTTAGTTACCTAGCTATAGAAACTGTTGATATATGTATATTACAGTTGCGCAGTTTAACAGAATCTAAGTTCAATAAAAATTTGATTTATTTTCGACAATGGCAGTTTTCTATTTTCAGACGATTTCCGGACATTGTTCAACATATACGAATGTTGCTGGACAGTGTTTTTAGGCCTTTTAGATCAATTAATTATACAAATTATTGCATTCCCTGATTTTACTTTTAAATTTTTCAACCCGCCGAAACTCAAGATAATTTAAAAATAAAACTTACCAAAAGCTTCCTATTATCAGCGTGTTAAGCAGCGCATAATTTATCAAGTGTCAAACGGTTTAAC